TAAGTTAGAGAGTTAGAAAAACATTTTTGGATCAAAAAATTCGTCATTAGCTAAAGTATATTGGGCATTATTCATATCTCAAAAAATCTCACTTTCATTTTTCCACCTAATGTCCACGTGATTGCCCGCTGTGGGTGAGCACCACTAATGATGCAGTTCTAAATCAGTCGATGTCTATAATAAAAAAAGATGTAGTTAATACCACACATTCTGTCTAACTTACTTTATGTTTCCATATAGCTCAAACTGATTTTACCATTTCATCGAGATTTGTTTTATTTCGTACGATTGCTTGACGATAATAATATTTTAAAATTGATCATCATATCTAGAAGAGGAGAAGCCAATTTTCGCAAGCCAAACAAAATCGGTTTATACTAACTTTTCGTCATCCTTCCTTGGCCTCCAATCCCCATTTTCCCATTAACCTTAATTTTCTTCAAACCTTGTGGGATTTTTTGTAGACTATGTAACATTTTCTTCGAAAAATGGTTGATATCTTCAATCTTGTTGATTTTTATGTTGTCGTACGGAGGATTACTGAGTAATTTTGGAAGAATTTTAGCATCGCCATCACCGATGTAACTAAATTGAATAATAATTAACAGAAAAGCGAACAGTTTTCGCTTGCAGGTGCTTACTTGACATACTGAACATTATATAGACGTTGGGAACGTTCAAATAGGCGATAGATTCCGTCCACCTCCATTGCACCTAAAAAATCCAAAAATAAGCGAAACAAATGTGAAAGAATACAATACTTACCGGATGATCCTGTGTGGTTCATTTCACAACTATGTTTGTTAATAATTTCTTCATACTTTTCTCTGTTCACATGTTTAATACTGAGGGCGCCAATACACGTCGAACACTTCTTCGACATTCGTTCGATATCCAACACCTAAAGAAAAGCAATACAGTTAAAAAAAAAGTACCTCCTCTTCGATACAAAAAAATTGAAGAGGAGGTACTTTTGTTTATGTCTTACTTTGGACATGACTACGGCTACACCATTCAAACTTGAAAATCTACGACGCTGCTAGCTTCCATCTCCACTTACACTCAACTGTCAACCGCCTGATTGAGTGCAAGCTTCTTCAATGGCTGTCGACATAGAGTTTTGTCGATGAGCTCGAAGACTAGGCAGGACATGAGCGATGGTGTGTGAATCATGGTCGTCGTCGATAGGAGGTGGTACGTTTAAAATTCCAAATAATTTTGCCAGACCTTGGTAATTGGTGGCCGATACCAGCGAGATTGGCTCCTAAATAAAGGAAAGTTTTCGATCATTGTCATTAGCAACAAAACCACCTACCAATTACACATCGAATATTCACATCTCGCATTTGTGTTTGTGGAAAACGTTTCGACGTACCAATTCTGATCATATGGCCACATTTACACGTAAATACCAGAGAACAATATAAACCTACAACATACACTAAGTATTCACTTCACGTCGAAAGAAACAAAATAATTTTACCTTTTCTCTTTGCTGTCGACAGATCACCATTCCATTTTGATTCACATCCATCACATACTGTTTGTTGCATCAATTCGATCAAAAGAGAGTTGTGAATAACTTGATAATGATCGTTGACATTCTTCGCGGTGTCGGCAGTCATTTTTGATGCGTATGACGATAGTTTTTGGCACGACGGACCCGTAAACGCACGTTTTCTGTATGAATAAACATTGTGAAGTGTGTGACGTGGGGCGTCGACAGGTAATTCGGATATTCCTCTTTTGGGTGTGTTAGTGACGTTAAGAGGACGACTTTCTCTCGCGGTGACGGATGGAGATTTCGGACTAGAAACGGAGGATGAAGGCAGAATGATATTTTCTTTATTTTCATGACGTTTTACAAGGTTTTGTGTAGCTGCATGACGTTTCTTTTTTGTGGACGAAGGTATCGGGGACATATCTGAAAAAAATAGCATATTCAATAAGAAAGATGAAAGCAGTGATTATTTTGTACTAAATACGAGCTAGATTCGCATAATCTACATTTTAGCTATCGAAAAAAAGATGATTCATCAATTTCCACGTAAAGTTACACGTAATTCAACCGGTTATATCTGAATAGAACCAGCTTTCTTTTGCTTCATATATATGTATCACACTCCTATATTGAACCTTAGGTCTGCTGTCACTATATTCTTCAATCTTGTTTAACGTTCCTCAGAACATGGTTTTAACAGCGCAGAATTGTATCCGCTCATAGACGAGTAATCGTAAAATCTTCGTTCTTGTTTTGTTTCGAAGCTAAGACATTTATCTAAATTTTGTCCGTAGGATTTTTGAATTTCCCTTTCTTTGCAGAGATATGTAGCAAATACTCCGCCGAGTTAGCGTTATTTTCAGAGCTCTGATTTAAAACCCACATAGAGAATGAACGGAAGAGAAATTCAAAAAACCCTACGGACAAATTTCAGATTTAGGTGTGTATTTTTATTTAAGACCGCCCGCAGCTTTCAAGTCTTCCTACCAACATAGGCTATAATTTTTTGCTAAGAGCCCCACTTTGCCCGTTGTCGCGCAATAACACTGCAACGCTTCAACGTTTCCAGCCCAAATCATTAGCATAAATTGCGTGCACAGTAAGTATTAATACCTGTAAGCACCATCGAAATCGGATGCGAAATAAAAAAGTTTTCTTCGCTGAAGGGGCCCCCTTAAGCATTTCAGAAAGAATCTGTTTTGGTTTAGATCTGCGTTCTTTGAAAGTTACGTGCATGGTAGAGCTTGTTTTACTTTTGAAAAAAGAGAGGATCTAAAACACCACCCGTTTTATCTTGGAAAGCAAGTTTTTGCTAATTTTCGATTTCTGAGTACGAGGAACAAGATGTTTCTTCGAACTTGTGGCGCAACACTTTTTCACTGGAAATAAAGTTTTCCGTCTTTTCTGGTCTTGCATGAAAATTCTACAAGGTTATTTCCGCATTCGAAATTCGATAATTAGGCAGACATTGGTTTTCTACACGTCTTTCTTAGGAGAAAAGGTTTAATACGATCGTCGCACTGCCCAAAACGTTTTTCTTTGTCTCTCCTCCAGAATCCCGAAGGGCCGGATTCCGGATCCTGGAGCACCGTCAAGCTTTTCACTTCGAAGCACTGCCCGTTTTCTCTAGGGAGATTTCTTCCTTTCCCTAAATACACTGTACATACATATACTCCTCTTGCACAATAACTTTCATTTGCTTTCTTTCCTACGTTGAATACACATACCATCGTATTTCATGGAAAAGATATTCTGAAGCAATTTCGAACCTCACTGACAAAAGGACAAAATGATGTTGATTATACGTTAATGTCAAAATATCCTGAAGCTCCCGAATGATGGTACCTGGTACTGTTCATTTATTCGTTTGTTGTTGCAGCCGCCGTTTGCCAGTGCGGTCAGTTTATTCCTTGGTATTTACTCTTTCTCTCTTTGCTCTTATCATTGGTATGTCAATTACCTGTCGGTATTATGATGGGCGTGGCAAATTAATCTCTGACTAATGCTACTATTGCCAGTATAATTGGTATTATCATGCAACCTTGGGTCATCAACATTCTCAGTATTCACATCAAGGACATCTAATCAGGCTTTGAATCTATTAGTTAATTTTACAGGAGTAGTTCGCATAAGACTTGAAATCGACCCACTAAATTATTGTTATTTTAAGGCTTCAAAGTATCCAGGACTCATCAAACTTATCTTATTCAGCGCTTTAGACTTTATCCGATGATTCCGATTCGACGTATTCGAACAAATCTACTCGTAGAGAAACACCCACGTTACACTGTCAGTATTACTGTAAAATCAAAATTTCTCCGCAACTTTGCAGTGTTCAGCCTAGTGCAATACACCATTCGCTGCGTCTTGAAACACTCTTCAAGATGAGTTAATGGGAACCTTATCGGCGCCTGGCTGCGGCCATTATGAATAAAATACTAGATTTTATTGTTTCACAATATCTTTTCCATAATAGTTATACAGTTACATCGTTATGACAGTTACAGTTTTCACAGTTACAATTAACTGGTAAAAAGCTGTAACTGGTGCATACCTAGATAGAGGTAGTATCCTAGTAAAATTCCTAGAAGGATTTGGATTCTTATTGCTTCATTTAAAAGGTATGATGACTGTTTTGTGTTATCTGTACCGAGCATCATACGGAACATTAAAAGAGTCATAACTTTGCGCAAAATAGCAAATTAAGGCTTGAAGCTTCTTTTCATCGTATTACCAATCGTTTGTTGATAACACAGAAAGCTTCAGGCTTTGAGCTACTATCTTTGTTGAATTAGCGGAGCAGCACTATGGCGACTCACAATGATTGTTATGTCGACAATGCTATGCAAGTGAAGCAGAGAAAAAATAAACGAATAATTGTGTTTGAAATACTTTCAAATAACATCATGTAACATCAGCAATTCTACTGTATTGTATAAAAACACGGGGAAATTGTTAAACTGTCCGCTATAACTTTGACAGAAACATTCAAGTGAGCGGTGAACGAAATCCAGCTTCGTTTAAACAATATGAAGCGAATGCCCGTAGAACTATCGTAAGTATTGTACCTTAATGCTGTTCCGGAGGAGAGAAAATTTGAATTTCGATTGTGGGTACGATTATGACGCAAAAAGATTCCAGATTAACAAGGGATAAGGGTACTAAATATTAACTAGGGATTTTTGAAGCCGCATACATTGGTACATTTCAGGGAAAGATGAGAGATAAAGAGTTAAATATGTTTGAAGTCCCATACATTAGTATAGTAAAACTTTCAGTAAGTTCAATTTGATGAGTTGAGTAACTCAAAATGGCATCCTGTTTTCTACCGAGATCTTTCAGAGCCCGGATAGCTCAGTCGGTAGAGCGTGTGGCTTTTAACCACAAGGTCCAGGGTTCGAGCCCCTGTTCGGGCGGCACCTTTTTTTGCTCTTTATTTTTTTGGAAAAAGAAAGGAGTTATTGTGCAAGAGGAGTATATGTATTTAAGTGCATTTATTTATTCCTCCTCTCCTTAAATGCACTGTATATACATATGCTCCTCGTGTGCAATAACTCGTTCTTTCTTTCTCCAAAACAAGCAAGGGAAAAAAAGTGCCGCCCGAACAGGGGCTCGAACCCTGGACCTGGTGGTTAAAAGCCACGCGCTCTACCGACTGAGCTATCCGGGCTCTCGAGGATCTCGGTAGAAAACATGATGCCATTTTGAGTTGCTCAACTCATCAGATTGAACTTACTGCAAGTTTTACTATACTAATGTATGGGACTTCAAACATATTTAACTCTTTATCTATCATCTTTCCCTGAAATGTTATATGCCAGCGATAGAAAATTTGATACCGATACGACAAGGATCTTATCCCAAAGATGTTTTTCTCTTTTCCCAAAGTATGAAACACTTTTGAATAAATGCAAGAAGAATATCTCTGAGATAGTATATAAAGTGCCTGTTGTGCAACATTTCAGGGAAAGATGATAGATATAGAGTTAAATATTTTTGAAGTGCCATACATTAATTAGTTTAGTAGAAAGTGCAGTAAGATCAATTTATTGAGTTGAGCGACTCAAAATGGCACCCTGTTTTCTACCGAGATCTTTCAGAGCCCGGATAGCTCAGTCGGTAGAGCGTGTGGCTTTTAACCACAAGGTCCAGGGTTCGAGCCCCTGTTCGGGCGGTGTCTTTTTTGCTCTTTCTTGTTTTGGAGAAAGAAAGAAGGAATTATTGTGCAAGAGAAGGATATGTATGTGCAGTGCATGTTAGAGCCGTTGCACGGGAGGCACGACCTAAGGTACTTTACTGATCTTTATTTTTGCGACCAAACTCTAACAGTAGATAGTCAAAATGTTTTGACTAGATAGTACTTCCTTTTGGACTTATAGAATGTTTTGTAAAAGCCGTAAAAACTTCTAAAAGCAGCATGTGTAGAAAACTGCATTTTGCAGCCATCATATTTCGGTCTACGCAGGAGAGCTGGAGCTCGTGCTTGCAGCATAAGTAGTATAGATCGAATACTACCTGTACCCAAAAAAATATGTGAATTCTGTCTTCGCACATGTGTGAAATTGTACCTACAAAATTAGAAATATTAATAATGGTCGTAGTTTTTGGCTAAAGTCTTCTATGAAAGTTAAAGTATTTGGCTAAAAATGAGTTTCACTGCACAGAACACATGTTTCACTACTCAAATTTATAGCTTTGATCTGAAAAAGGTCGTTCATTAAGGGTGCAGACCATCTCGCAGTTCAGAGAAAGTGAAAATGGATGATTTTAAAAAATAAATTTTTATGTCCGAAGGCACTTGCTATATAAATCGACACAGTCACTCGTATACTACACCACATGAACTGTGTGGTACTAACTTGCGATTTGAAGCATATTCATAGACGCTCATCATCGGGAGCGGCTGAAAGAACCCCACAAATGACGAAAAACGAATATAACGTAATCTTGAACTATCTCGAATGAAACCTCGAGACTTGGAGAGTCCAAATACACATGTATCGATGTCCACTATCTCAGAGATATTTTCTTGCATTTTTTCAGAAGTGTTCAAGTTTCATACTTTGGGAAAAGAGAAAAACTTCTTTGAGATAAGATCTTGGTCGTATCGATATCAAATTTTCTATCCCTGGCAGTTTACATGCTATCTCGATGAAAGTTTTTCTGTTTTTTGAAAGTATGAAACTTGAACACTTGAAAAAATGCAAAAAAATATCTATGAGATAAGATGTAAAGTACCTGTGGTACAGCATTTCAGGAAAAGATGATAGATAAACGTTAAATATTTTTGAAATGCCATACATTAGTATAGTAAAAATTGCAGTAAGTTCAATTTGATGAGTTGAGCAACTCAAAATGGCATCATGTTTTCTGCCGAGATCTTTCAGAGCCCGGATAGCTCAGTCGGTAGAGCGTGTGGCT